GTGTGATGGGCAGACAATGTATGGAGGGGCCATACCACTGGGCACTTTATTCTGACCATAGTGGAGAACTTTCTGTGGTTTTCAAGTATCAGTGACTTAGAAAGACAATAGTTGGTGGAGTGTGAGATGCATTAGTGGGGGGCGGAGAGTGATCAATAGATCACATGGAAAATGCTGTAGGTGAAATGTTGAGAAGATTTAAAAACACTAGAAGAGAAGCTAGTGGGGAGAAAGATATTTGAAATGTAAAACAGAGAGAAAGATGATTGGAGTAAACCCTAGAGGATATGAAATGATGGACAATGGGAGAAAAATCTCCTCCATGCAGACTGTCAAAGCCTTCACTTGTAGTGCTGATTGACAAGTCTTCTCTATATATTCAATCAAGTTTTCTCCAGTTCTCTACACTTACTTCTTCAAATCCTTACCACTCTTATGAAATCTGTTCAGTCTTATTCTACCTCAATCCAAATCTTTTCCTAATTTTTCAGAAGAGCTAGAAACCATCAGGCAGAAGCACTCTGAACTTCCAAATACCAAACATGCATTGGAATCCAAAATCTCCTTTGCTTTCACAAAGCCAGGAGCCAAGACTCAGTGCAAGCTTTCCAATCAGATATTTTTAACTGCACAGGCCATGTTTTTCTGAAAGAATTATATGATATATATTTTCCTTTTGATCTCTGGACTTTGCTCACATCTACTGGCTTTTCTTGGTCAGCACTGCCGTTGTTAGGATTTGGATTCCCACTGTGGCAAACTCTAGTATATATGAAGCAATGCTAACTGCAATAGAGATCAATAGCTGTTCAAAGTGGCATTAGATTATAACCAAACACTGATTCCACATTAGAGGATTAACTGGGAAGAAACTTAGTTTGTGGGTGACTGTCTTATATTGCATTTTGAATGCTGCCTATAATAACTCCAAATATTGTTTTAAAGAAACATTTCAAATGTTGCATCTGTCTTAATTTAGGGTTAATTTGAATACTCTTCTTTTGTCAATAACTTTGACATACCCTAACAATTGCCTTATCAAATAAATTTCAATTAAAAAAGCCACATGCTCTTTATGTTATTTGATGTAGTACTTCATTTATCCAAAAGCAAACAAACATAAAACCCAGACTTATTGCCATCGAGTCCATTCTGACTAATAATGCCCCATTGGGGAGCAGATTGTCTCATCTTTCTTCCATGGAGAGGCTGGTGGGTTCGAACCAC